GTGTCCGTGCGGCTGTGTCGCGGCGCCGTTTCCTGGGCTGAAGGGCAGAAGGGCCTGGCCGCACCCTCCGCCTGGCGCTCCGGCCAGTGAACCTCCTTGAGCTGCATGTGCCTGTCGTGTTGTGTGTTCGTGTGTCTCTACCCCGTAACCCAGCACTTATCTCCTCAGCCAGTGGCTAGGGGCCAGCCTAGCCCAGATTTTACTCCAATGGACGCACGTTTCTTGGGTGAAGATCTCTCCTGAGAGTTCGGGACTAGCAGAGAGAAGCGAGGAAATGTCCAGCGTTGGGTTCTTACGGATAGGTATTTATGTATTCGGTTTGTGTGACTGTAAGCTATGATATTTGACTTTTCAGAAAAATATTTTTTTTTGCAAATGACGTTAAATAGTTGAGCAAACCATAAACGGTAAGAACTGCCACCAAGTGGATCTACCATTTATGCTGTTAAAAGATTGTTTACCTTTAACTATAACTTTTATCGTATTGTAGAAAAGAATTTAGACTTTGTTAAAATAACTTGAGTTTGCAAGTAGGTGAGATGTGGCTAGCCAAATTAAATATAAATCAGAGAGTAGTTCTTATGTTTGTTTTAATACTTTATTTCTTTATTTAATTGGTAAGTATGTATATATAAAAGCTCACACACAAACCAACCTCGACATTAACTTCTCCCCACTGACCAGCGTGTTCCTGTTACAGATACGATGGGCGAGGTCACCTGCATGACCTTTCTGAGTACGACGCCGAGTATTCCACCTGGAACAGAGATTACCAGCTCTCGGAAGAGGAGGCGCGAATAGAGGCCCTGTGTGATGAAGAGAGGTATTTAGCCTTGCATACGGACTTGCTTGAGGAGGAGGCAAGGCAAGGTACTGCTCAAGAAAAACTTACTTAAGCCACAAACGTTTTAAATTTTTAAGTATTTAAATTTACTCCCATTCATTTTTTTATACTCACTCTTTCTGATATTATCTTGACAGTACCCAGTGGATTGGAAAAACAGGCGTCTTTGCGTTCTGGGAGGACCTCAGGATAGTTTATATATAGAGCCACAGAGACTTTTCCCAGCTTTTGAGGGCAGACTGGGATTTGACAAAACAAAAACCAAACTCTTTAACTGTTCTCCTTTAACAGTATCGTATGAACTACAATTGATGTTCTTGTCTTTGCCTTCACAATCTTTAATGCAGTTCTTAATCCCAGATTTCTCAGCAGGAAGAAATTTTCCACAAAAGACGTGTATTCTGCTGTCTGTGGTAAAATGTACTGGCAGAAGTACACGTCGATAGATGTGAAGTGGGAATTTTTAAACATTGCCTCGAAGAGAGGTTGAAAAAGTGTGTTTTATGCTTTACTGATAGCTACGACTTTAGAAATATATGGAATTTTTCTCAGTAAATTTCTATGTGTAATAAAGTTCTCATTTTTATTCAAGAGGAAGAATATAAGCGCCTGAGTGAAGCCCTCGCCGAGGACGGGAGCTATAACGCGGTGGGGTTCACGTACGGGAGCGACTACTACGACCCGTCCGAGCCGACCGAGGAGGAGGAGCCTTCCAAACAGAGAGGTGAGGCGGCCTGGCCCAGGTGCGGGCTCCTTCCACCTCTCTCTCTCTCTCTCTCTCTCTCTCTCTCTCTCGGGATTTGCTGAAGTGGTTTTGCTTGTGGAATAGAATGGAAAACTGGGAAATGTTTCTAGAAGAAACGATAGGAAAAAGGGAAAGGACCAGTCACTGCTCCCTACGTTGCTCTTTATGTCGCTGCCGCCTCCTGGGCACGGCCCTGAAGGTGTGTCTTCTTTCTACACAGAAAAAAGTGAGGCTGACCATGTGGAGGAGAACGAGGAGCCCTTCATTGCCCCCGTGGGACTGAACGTGCCGCCGGACGTGGAGCTGGTATGTGCGGGTCTGCCTGTCCCTGTCCTGTTAGTCACGGTCACTGCTTGTTTGTTTACTGATTTATTTTCTATATTTTCCTACAAAAAAGGAGGACACTTGTAAGAGCCCTTCCCAGGACAGAAATATTAGTCAGCAGTCATGACACCAGCTGCCAGGTTCACTTGGTCCTCCTCCCTTTTCCCGTTTCACAGGGAGGAGGAGGCCATGCAGAGCGAGTCCAGCCCACAGAACGCTCGCTCTGCGAGGCCAGCTTCCCCATTGCTTTTCCTCCTTACGACCACCAAGGTCGGAGTTCAGAGCCGATGGGAAAGAACGCAGGGTCAGGCTGTTTTCAACATCTCGCTTTACCTTATTCTAAAACACGGGGACAGCACCACGCTGGCATCCTCCGCGGTGTCGTTATCAGACACTGTCAGGAAACAGGAGGCAACCTGCGGAAAACAGTGTAACGCTCTAACCCAAAGCGTGACTCCGTGCGTCCACCTGCATGGACGCAGGTTCTGAGACGCAGGAACGCGAGTGGCAGCTGCAGGCCTTATGCGGACCTGAGCTGTCAGTCCCTCCAGGCGCTCTTGCTGCAGCTGGTCCCTGCTTGTTCAGGGCGAGGCTGCGGGGTGAGGGCCCGGCAGTCCCCTGGGTTACGGCCCCACTGCCTGAAAGTCACGCCTGAGCTCACGGAGAAAAGCCAGGGTCATTTACGCACTTTCTTCTTTAATGAGGTGATGACTTCACTTGGGGTTCACCTCTTTAAGCCTCACCTGAGGATATGTTTTTATTGATTTGAGAGAGAAACATCAATGTGTGAGAGAAACAACATGGGTTGGTTGCCTCCTGTCTGGGCCCCGACTGGATGGAACCTGCATCCTAGGTCCACGCCTGATAGAAAGGGGACCCAGCCTTGTCGTGTAGGGGATGCTGCTCCTGCCAGCGGAGCCACCCAGGCGGGCAACACAGGGTCAGGTCTGTGTTTGGAGCCCTGTGGTCGTGGCCAAGAGGAAAAACCAGTCATGTGCACGTGTGCTCTCTCCCAGCCGCCCACAGCCAAAATGCATGCCATCATCGAGCGCACGGCACGCTTCGTGTGCCGGCAGGGGGCGCAGTTTGAAATCATGCTGAAAGCCAGGCAGGCCCGGAACTCGCAGTTCGACTTCCTGCGCTTCGACCACTACCTCAACCCCTACTACAAGTTCATCCAGAAGGCCATGAAGGAAGGGCGCTACCCGGTGCTGGCCGAGAGCAGAGGGGACGAGAAGCAGAGTGAGTGAGGCGGCTGGCTCCTCTCGTCGGGCGGAAAAAAAGCACAGAGGGCTGCTCCCACACATGCCACGCAAGCCTGCCCTTCAGCACCCAGTGTCTGCCCGCCCTGCCACAGAGGGTGACGGTACCACCTGCGGTCACCCTGCGGTGTGCACATGGGAGAGATGGTGAACATAATTAAATGGGTTTTTTAAATATGTATATATTTTAAAATATATTTTATTGATTTTTTTACAGAGAGGAAGGGAGAGGGATAGAGAGTTAGAAACATCCATGAGAGAGAAACATTCATCAGCTGCCTCCTGCACAGGCCTCACTGGGTATGTGCCTGCAACCAAGGTACATGCCCTTGACCGGAATCGAACCTGGGACCTTTCAGTCCACAGGCCAATGCTCTACTCACTCAGCCACACCGGTCAGGGCTTAAATATATTTTTATTGATTTTAGAGAAGAAGGGAGAGGGAGAGAGAATCATTGATTGGCTGCCTCCTACGCGCCCCCTACTGGGGATCGAGCCCGCAACCGAGGCATGTGCCCTTGCCCAGAATCGAACCCGGGACCCTTCAGTCCACAGGCCCACGCCCTATCCACTGAGCCCAACCAGTGAGGCCATAATGAAATGTTGATGCCATTGGAACACACTGTCTCAGCTGAGCAATGTCCCCTCCCCGTCTGGCCCTCGGCGTTTGTAGAGAAAGCAATGCCCTGCCCCATGGGGCTGGGCCGGAGCCCACTCCTCCCACGGCGCAGAGATGACATGCCAACTTCACTCTGTTTTCACTCTCTCGGCCTTGGGCTGTCGTCCTGTGACGGCATCTAAATGGGGAGTCATTCCAGGGGACTCTGCACAGTGTGCTTGGGCCGTGGTCTCTGCAACGTCCGCCATTGGGTGTTTCCCTCTTCAGCTGGAAGTTTCAGTAGACGACACCTCCCATCGCCTTCCTGTGTTGTAGTTTTAAAAATACCTATTGCTGTTACTTTACGTTCATAAATCAGTTGGAGTTTTTGTCTTTTTTGCTAAAAAATTGAAACACACAACGGCTCTGACTGTGAGGGCTGGGCGAGCTCGGGCCCCCCTCCCCCACTTACTGCTGAGCACCTGGTGGCAGCGCGGCCTCCCCTCCCCCTCCTGAGACGGGTGTTTGTTGCAGAGTCGGGGGTCAGCTCGGACAACGAGGACGATGATGACGAGGGCGACGGCAGTTACCTGCACCCGTCTCTCTTCGCGCTTCCTGCTGAGCACCTGGCGGCAGCGCGGCCTCCCCTCCCCTCCTGAGACGGGTGTTTCTTGCAGAGTCGGGGGTCAGCTCGGACAACGAGGACGACGATGATGAGGGCGACGGCAGTTACCTGCACCCGTCTCTCTTCGCCTCCAAGAAGTGCAACCGCCTGGAGGAGCTGATGAAGGTTCTTATCGTGACCGAGCTGTGTTTTCATTGCATCACAGAACTGCTGACTTAATTTCAGAAACTTATTAAGAAAGCATTTCTTTTATATAATAGCTGTATCCTATTTTGTCATCATTGAGGTCTATTTTGCACTGTGGCAAAGGAATTTACTTTCTTTTGTATCTCAGTTTATAAAACTCATGAGCAAATTATTTCCATTTATTTTAACTGCCATTGGGACATTTAGAATAAGTAAAATGTCGGTTAAGACTTGGAGGTTGTGCAGAATCCATTGTGATAGGATCGGGTCTTACAGGTGTGAGAGTGTGTGCAGTCTGGTCCTGGGCCTGCCTTCTCCTTTCCTCGGGGTCACTAGGAAGATCGAAGCCATCTGCCTGCTCAGTTCCTCCGGGAATCGCAGCTAGAGGCTGAGCCAGCTCGTCAGGGCGTGTGTGTGTGTGTGTGCGCGCGCGTGTGTGCGCGCGTGTGTGTGCGTGCGTGTTCCCTGCAGTGTGCACGCTGTGTCTGGAGTCAGGCTGAGTGTGACCGTGGAAGCCATCTGTCTGCTCAGTTCCTCTGGGAATCGCAGCTAGAGGCTGAGCCAGCTTGTCAGGGCGTGTGCTCGTGTGCGCGCGTGTGTGCGTGCGTGTTCCCTGCAGCGTGCACGCTGTGTCTGGAGTCAGGCTGAGTGTGACCGTGCTCCCTCTGTCCGCAGCCTCTGAAGGTGGTGGACCCGGATCATCCCCTCGCCATGCTGGTCCGCAAAGCCCAGGCCGACAGTCCTGCCCCCACCCCTCCCTCGGCAGAAGGCGCAGCCGGGCAGCCCTCCCAGGTGGAGTACACCTCTGACTGTGAGTACCTCGCCGGGCGCACCTC